TTGTACTCATCATGATGATATTCTTTGTTATGTTTTGTTTTTTAATTTAGAAACAATTCTTTTCTTTCCTTTTTTTAAAAAAAATGTTATTTTATGCTGGTTTACTTAAAAGCTCGCATACATTGGTTTTTTTTTTTATTTTATTATTTTTGTGTGCATGTACCATCAAATCAGATCTGACTGGCACAGGAGGAGATTGTCCCTCCTTCCCCGGCAGAGCATCTGGTGGATTCGAACCATGCACCTCTGTGATTGTAGTTGCAGCTTCTTGCCACTAGGCCACCAGAGCTCCCCTGCATACATTGTTTTTAAATAGGATCTTTGCATTTCCTTTACCCATCCCTCCTTCCACCTATCAAATTGTGCAACTCATCCCCCAACAATCCTCCCAGCTCTGCTCCTAACTTTCTCTCTACGATAATGGTCTTATGTAGTATTTGCCCTTATGGAACTGAGTTCACTTCCTATGAAAATAATGAGAATTATGAGAATAATGCTTTCCAGCCCTTCCCAAGTTAGTTAGTGATTTACAAAATCATTGCTCTTGTGTGCTGTGTAGTATTCCATAGTGTGAAAGTGCCATATTTTCTCAATGAATGATATTCTTTATAGACTCCCACAGTTCAGCTGGTCTTTGTTCATTAGTATCCAAGGCCTCAAACTTGTTTTTGAGATGGTGTTTAGATTCAGGTAGGATAGACTCAAGGTCAAATTTTGGTTCTTGTGGATTTGATTTAATTTCTTTAAGGTTTAATTTGAACTTGCATATGAATAGTTGATGGTTTGTTCCAAAATCAGCAACCTGGCCTAATTTTCACAGCTGATATTGAGTTTCTCCAGCAATTCTTTCCACATATGTAATCAATCACATTCCTGTGTAGACCATTAGATGAGGTCCATGTATATAGCCATCGTTTGTGTTTCTTATAAAAGGTATTTGCAACGAATAAATGATTGATGGTACAAAATTCTACTATTCTATCTCCAGCCTCATTCCTGTCATCAAGACCATGTTTTCCAACTACTGATCCTTTATCCTTGTTTTAAACTTTTGCATTCCAGTCACCCATTATTAATGCATCTTAGTGGTACATTCAGTGAATTTCCTACTACAAAGCTTGGTAGAAATCTCCTATTTTCTTCGGCTCTGGTTGTTGGTGCATATATTTGAATGGGCATGGTAGTAACATGTCTTCCTTATATATGTATAGATACTCTCCTATTGCTTACAAGATTGCATTTCAGGATGGAGCTAGAAATATTTGGGTAGGGTTTTTTCTTTTTTGTTTTGTTTTCTTTTTACTATGAATGTGACTCTATTTTTCCTCACCTTTTAAAGAAATCTGGAGAACAGATACCTGGACAGCTCATTGGAAGATATCCATATTTATTCCCATTTCAAAAAACGATGATCCAACACAGTGTGGAAATTATCGAACAATATCACTAATATCATACACAAGCAAAATCTTGCTTAAGATTATCCAAAGACTATTATATTGGAACGGTACATCAACAGAGAACTACCAGAAGTACAGACTGGGTTTAGAAGAGGCCATAGCACTAGGAACATCATTGCTAATGTCAGACCAGGAGACAGAAGTCACAACAGAACAAGAAAACACTGCATGGTTCAAAATCAGGAAATAAA